AAAACATATCATTGCATGTCATAACATATCATGACCTAAAATAATCATGTCACAGTATATCATGGCATTTCATAGCATATCATGATTTATCGTAACATAATATGACATTTCATTTATACTCTAATGTTAGTTGGCATATCTTGGCATATCATATAGCGAAACATATCATATCATCAAATATATCAAACATATGACCTATGCTGGGCCACTAGGTATATATCTCATACATAAAACAACTCTTTCAACCAAACCAATAGTAGAGCCACTTACTTGGTTGGCTTAGGCCGAAACTACTACGACCTCTAGATGCTAACATAATGCTGCTCTCTAAAATTTAATTCTACCTAACGAGTCTCACAATCATAAGTTAGAATTCTACTATGGGAATTAAACTTTTAAACTAGTTAAACCTAATTTCACATCAAATAATTTAAACTTATTCCAAATAATATAAACTGGCTAAAAACGAGTCATACTAATCTTAAACGCTTCTGAAAAGTTAAAACTAGTAGAAAATAGTCCGAGCATATCAAACCCAAGTTGAATCAGCTGAAATATCCGGCTAGAGTCATAAGAAAATGTATTCTCTAAATAATTTCAAACCGTTCAAAGTGGGATGAAAGGAAGTACCACTTTCTCGATGTGAAACAACTTCATTTTATTTTATTATTATTTTTTCTAATTTTGGGTTATTCCAATGCATACCAATAGAAAATATTATCTAAAATACATTTAATGGTTAACTTCATTTTTAAATTATTTTAAAATGAAATTACTGAAATAATTACAAATTCAACATGTTAATATATATATATATATATAGATAAATAGAGAGAGCACTGATTAACTTTTAAGTAATGATAATTAATATTCTTATTTTATGTCCAAATCGTTGTTTGATTCAATAATTAAAATAAATGTTGACAAACGATAATCATATTAACCAAATATTGATTTAACTCTAATCATTAACTTAATCTTAATTTTTGGTTTACTTTATTGTTACTATTTGTATAATATTTTTATTAAGTTCCTAGCCTTCCTAATTAAAAATGAAAAAAAAAATACAATAAACCATTATAGATAAAAATGAAGGATGTTAGTCGAACCCGAGTAGCCGAACTGATCAAACCAGAATTATAAAGTTTGGGTTGGATTAAATAGAAACTTGAATCTGAATGATTATCTAGGACCCAATCTAATTTAGGCTCAACACAGCCTCAACACTTATTTAATTCCTCGGCCCACTGCCCCACGTACAATACCCTCTTTATGGCCTATGTGCCCAACTCGATTACTCCCTTTTCGTTTTCTTTCCCTCCTTTGATGCGACACACACAGCTCACTAGCTCAGTACTTATGTCACTCGCAGTCTACGTCAATATTTCTTTGTTTTTCTCACAATTGCTACTCAAATACACTCGTCTCGCCACTCACTTGGTTTAATTTTTTTTTGAACAACGTAAAACCTAACCCGAACCCTACTTGAAATAATTAAAGGGTTGGATTGAGTTGAGTTGTGAAACAATTTCGAGTTGGGTTGGGTTACCAATCTAACCAACCCGAACTTTTGAATTGGCCAAAACAAATTCCTTAACCAAACTCAAATCGGCCAATGTACACTCCTAACAAAAACCTCTATCCTTGTCAATATTCATATTCCCAAAAAAAAAAACATAGAGATCAATTAAAAGAACATGGAATTATTTATTATATTACATAAATCAAAAGGCAAGAAAAAAAAGGGAAATGAATGAACTCATGGATTAAATTATGATTGGCTACCTAATTGAGAAATTTCACAAAAAAAAAAAAAAAAAAAAAAAAAAAAAATTTT